CACTAAAGTATATAGTTAAAAAACACTACTGTTGTTACTGGCTTTATTTACATTCTGAAATTGGCAATAGTGTGGGTTGAATAATAAATGGAAGTTACATTCATACAAATTGTGTTGTTCCAAAACCATAACCATAGAGAGCCGAAGTGGCGCAGTGGTTAAATGCAGCACTGCAGGCTACTTGCAGACTGCAGTTCTGCAGTTCAGCTGTTCAAATCTGACCGGCTCGGGGCTGACTCAGCCTTCCATCCTTACCAGGTGGGTAAAATGAGGACCCGGATTGTTGTTGGGGGCAATATGCTGACTCTGTAAACCGCTTAGAGAGGGCTGAAAGCCCACAGAACCAGTAGTAAAAAAAAAATTGAATCCCACCACTGAACAGCTATCCTTGTCAGAAGGCTTTTCTATGATTTGGTTTAATTTCACTTTCTATTGTAGCCGAGAATAAAGCAATATCCACTCCGAAGATTTATTTTACGCAGCCAGTTGAAATCAAAACCCTTAAATAGGTTTGGGCTTCAGAGAATAGATTCTAAGGTTTTTTTCCTCCTGCCCTCCCTTGTCAACAGACACTTGGCTGTTCTTCTGATAAATTTGAAGGCACCTAAACTATGTTGTCACAACAGAACTCTCTAGTCCAGGAATTGCTGGCTCTCAACTTACCAGCTTCCTCTTTTGGAGTTTGGTCTGAATGCTTGTGTTATCCTTTTTGCTTTTTAAGATACTGACAATTTCCTGGCTAATATTTCGTCAACTTTTCTCCTCTAAAGTAATTGCCATCTTGGAAATCAGAGATGTGCCAGTCATACCACACTTCGGGAGCATTTCTTCAACAATGTCCATTAGCATTAGCATTTTGATACCAGCTTTATATTATTCAACACAAATATGAAACAAATCAAGACAGCATGTAAATAAAGCCAGTAACAACAGTAGTGTTTTTTAACTATATACTTTAGTGTTATTAACGTTAACAACTGGGCCAAGGGCATAAGCTGTCATAGGCAGAAGTTTGATGTTTCAATCATTTTGTACTATGTTCTCAATTAGATAACCAGTCAAAATAAATTGGATATGTTTGTAATAATACTGCAATTGTCAAAGCTTTGAAGGATAGGTATTGTCTAAAGATATGATATTATTCAAACCCAGCCTTTATTGATTATTCAGGATAATCTAATGCACACATACGGAACATTAATTTGATCTTTTTGCTGTGATATTTCCTGCTCTGAAGAGATGAACATTTTTATTAATTCTACATTTAGATGGTTACTGCAGCTGATATGGTAAAACAGCAAATACAAGTTTGCTTTTCTTACAGCTCTCTCTGTCTTTTTGTTCTTATAATTCCATTGTTGGTTAAGCAAATAAGAGCCTCAATAAATGTAATTTTAATAATGTAAAACTGACAGATGGTAGTTTTCTCCCAAAGATTGAAAAGTGGTCTCTTATGAGTCCCCTAATATTTCATCTCTGCTAGTTTTGTTTTGTTTTTTTAAATAAAAGCAACAGCTATCTTCTCTCTGTCCATTATAAAAGAAGCTTTTTTTAAACTTCACTTTTGATCAAATTGTGGGAGATCTAGAGAGTTTAGTGTCCTAAAAAACGTTTCAAATAAAACGTTTTCAATATATGTGATTGATGTCCTGGTGAGATGCCCTGCTCATAAACTAACATAGTTACCAAACTTTAGTCTCTAATAGGTCTGAATTGATAACCACTTTCTAGAAAGTTAGAATTAGGTGTGTTTAGAACATTAAGTAGAGTATAATTTGCACTCCTTCCAAATCCTCATTTTCTTCTATTCTTAACTGGCTGTCTTCATTCTCCATGGCACACAGTGTCCCCAAGGTTGAAAAGTTAACTAAGAAAAGTATTCGGAGTAATCCTGGTTGCCTGAAGATCTCAGGTGCTTTGAAATTCTTCAAGGTTTCCATCTTCCTTTCCAGTGTTTCACAGCATTGCCCTAGCAATATCTTTGACTGGTCTTAATTACCTTTTCCCATTTTTACAAATCTGCTCTTTTTGCCTGTTTTCTACCTGTTGTGTTTTTATTGCCTGAGGCAGTTTGTGATATTTAGCAGAGATGAACACTTGCAAAGAAACAAATGGATTCTCTGTTTTATAATATACCTTTTTCTCTCACTTGGACTTTTTTGTTTTGATTAAGCCTTGACTGATGATAGATGTTTTCAGCTATTTTAAATATCCTTTGTACCGCAAAGTTTATTTTATTGATGCAGAAGGATGGAGATATGCCACATGCATTTGATTATTGGCTCCTTGAGTTTGACTTCTAGCAGAACCTGAAAGAACATATTTGTTTTGTCAGTGAAAAAAAGCCCATGGCTTTATCACAACTACTGCTATTATTCCCTACATTCACTTTAGATGTTCTATAAACATAGAACTTTTTTGACATTTGAAATGCTGCCGGAATAACTGTTGGTTTGAAATAAAGCAGCCAGCCTTAACTTTCAAAGTTAACTGAAGAACTTGCAAAAATCACAGCAGACCTCCTCTGTTCAAGATATATAAATTTGGCATAGGTTCCACCATCAATTTTAAGTTTGAAATGTTGGTTTACATGCTATAAAATGAAAGCTGATATCTTTTGACATTATTTCTTCCATTCTGTGAGTAAGAAGGCTTACCTTTTTCCCCAGAAGAATGTTTTACCTTCATCAGGGCCATAACAACTGTATTTTTTGAACTATAAGACGCACCGGTGTGTAAGACACACCAAGATTTTGAAGAGGTAAGTAAGAAAAAAAGGTTTTGCCTTCCCTCAGGCTCCAGCAGCCCTCTGCAGGCTTCAGCAGGGCTGTTGGGGAGCTGAGGGAAAGCAAGAAAGCCTCAGTTTTTGTGGAAAATGGCCTGTTTTTTGCAAAAACAGGAGCATTTTTGCCTTGCCCCAGCCCTGCTGAAGCCTGCAGAGTGCTGTTGGGGGCTGAGGGAAGGCAAAAACCCCTCCATTTTTGCAAAAAAAAAGGGGGGGGGCATTTTCGCAAAAATGGGACGTGGGGGCTTGGTTCCGGGAGACCAAAAATGGCTGTATTCGGTGTATAAGATGCACCAACATTTCCACGCTCTTTTAAGGGAGGAAAGGTGCGTCTTATACTCCGAAAAATATGGTATTTTTTGAGAAGAGGAAACACACGCGGAGAAAAGCCTAGATAGAATTATTATCATGAAAATAGGCCAAACACAAATGTTCCACTGTCCCAAATAGATCCCAAAAAAAGAAAGAAAAAAAGGCAAGGCTGTTGAGAAACCAGTTGCATTAAGAAGTCACAGTGTCTTTTTTTTTTTTTTACAGTATTCTGCTGAGCTGTTGGCAGTGGTCCGTCTGCCCTTCATCCATCCCAGTTATCTGCTAAACGTCGTTGACAATGAGGAATTGATAAAATCTTCAGAGGCCTGCCGGGATCTGGTGAACGAAGCAAAACGTTATCACATGTTGCCACACGCCAGGCAAGAGATGCAAACTCCAAGAACCCGGCCCAGGTTATCAGCAGGTAATGGTGGAGCCTTGAAAAGATCGTTTTTCTGAAATGGCTAATGGTATTTGCAGGCTGCAAGTAAGGAACCAAGATTAAAAGGCTTCCCCTCAGTTTTTCTGTAAAGCGTCCAAGATACAGGCAGATATCAAACTGGGCAATTGGGCATTGCAAACTGGGCAATTGGGCATCCTGCAGTCCTTCAGATTTTTTCCCACTGATTCTCCTTGTGGCAAAAGTTATTGAGAGCGGGGAACCGGCAAGAGGGCATTCATCATCCCAGACCAGGTGCTAATTCCCTGGCAGATGGTTTTCTGTCATGGTTTGGCCATATTTATTTAACAGCCTAGCACAGTCTGGAGATAGAATTCTGGACATATAGGTAGTTTATATTTCTTTAATCCAACTTGACTTTTTTCCCCAAACATCTTTAAAATTATAGACATCCTTGAATACGTTAGATTGCCTTCCAGAAAATAATCTCTCTTTTTTGCCATTTAATAATGACAATAATTGTTTTTTTTTAAGTTTTTACAATAACATATCTAAATCTCTGCATGACCCTGAGGTATCACAGCCATACATACCTTTTGTATCATTTATGAAATGCCTGGCTGGCTGCAAGCAGATTTATTAAGCAGAAAAGCCATTAAACATAATGTGACTTCTAGATAAGTCTACAGAGGATCTCCTTTGAAATGAAGACTCATTTTCATAAAATAAGGGGCAGACTACTGCAGGGGAGAAGGTATTTCTGCCTTGGTAAAAGTGAAGACTCCCAAAAATATACATTGGAGTCCATGAATGGAGAGGGCTCCTCCATCCATAGTCTTCACATTGTGAGACAGAATAGCAATAGCAATAGCAGTTAGACTTATATACAGCTTCATAGGGCTTTCAGCCCTCTCTAAGCGATTTACAGAGTCAGCATATTGCCCCCAACAACAATCCGGGTCCTCATTTTACCCACCTTGGAAGGATGGAGGGTTGAGTCAACTCTGAGCCGGTGAGATTTGAACAGCTGAACTGCAGAATGCAGTCAGCTGAAGTAGCCTGCAGTGCT